TTTGTATTGAATATTTGTCTCCACACACCTATAGGACGATATAGGAAACCGTGTAGAGGATACCCGGTTTCTCACACCGCTTCTACACGTTCAATCAGAACATTCGATAAAATTTAAAACGGAAAACCGACGTTTAAAGCGTAGCGTAAGCCAGTCATTGATCACAAAGAAGCTATCCCTTTGTCGCATAGCTGAATTCAGTATATTATGTATAACAATACCTAGGCGTAGTGTGGGGCGACCCCCCACTAGATGGGTGACGACCTGGTAAGACATGCAGGAAGTCGATGGATGCAGTTGGCTCAGGACCGTACTTTGTGGCATTACTTGGGGGAGGCCTATGTTCAGCAGTGGACTTGTGAAAGGCTCTAATCATGATCACAGTGTTGATCACAAAGCTAAATAGGTAGGTAATGTTTCTATACATACGAGTACCCAACAAATTTTAACTACCGAAATCCAAACACTATTTAAAATATCATGATCACTTTAATGTGTCTCATATTTTTCACTTTCTCATCTAAGTTAGCATATGACTTGTCAAACAGAACATCCAAATTTACCAGTCATGTCATTACTTTTACATCACATGGATGTTAGAAAAATTGATCGAACTTGTTTGCTAGTCTAAAATCTAAGGAAGGCTATTACAGATTGTCAAACGTGTTTGATTCATGCCAATCATGCGCCACGTAATGGCTGCTTTTACTATACATGTGAATATTGAGACAATATTAAGTGAAATTGTGGGAAAGACCTTCATACTTGAACTTCGATTAGAGAAAAATAGTCTTAATATTCAATAACACGCTACATTTCTTCTGGCAAGTTACTGACATCAGAAGAGAAAAAAATAATGTTTTACAGAATATTGCACTTATTATTTTATATTTTGAATGCCTAATGGCGGAACATAGAGAACCTACCTTATATTTTATTATGTACATATCGAGATCTGTAAATTAACCTATTTTTTACAAAATAAACAGATTTGATTTGAGTTCTTTGGTGTCTTCTGCATTTAATAATTTATCAGAACGGGATCACTGACATGTTGTATTTGGCGGCTGCATTTTGGGGAAGAAAAGTCAGCGCCCATCTTAAAATATGCCACCAAAAATCGCAGTTTCTAAAAACTACTTTTTACCTTTGATTAAAATATAAAGGACAGTGTGGCCTTATATATATCGCTTATTTTTTTATACTACATAGATTCGAGGTATTTTTAGATCTGGCGGCCCTGGGCGACAGCGACCCCATGCTACGCCATTGATTTCGCCATCAGCAAATCAATAATTTTAACGCTTGGCAATAAATAATCGTTTGGCATTATGGCGACTGCAACAGTGAGTCGTAAACGCAGTGTTCGAATTCGAAAATTCAGTGTTCATTTGAAACACATCAGTTATCTCGTGACTAAACAACTAATAATTAAATGTTACCAAACAAAACATTCGATTTACTTTTTTATTTTTCAATAATTATAAGCCGTTATTGGCCTACAAATATTTTTTTAAATATAAATTATTTTGCTTTATTAATTACACACTTCACTTTTTTTGTAAAAACGCAGACGATTAAAATGTTAAACATAATAAGAAGATAACTGTGGCGATTTTACACAGATTAACTATGATTATATCAAATGTAACCAACCTCACAGGATTCCGTTAGCCACTGTCACGGTTATCGAGATCGCTCGCGTGTTACATAACCATCTCTAAGATGGTATATTCCTACATTTCTAGCCGAACAACGGTAAACGTCTACAATAAATAACATTGTCCAGCGAATCCTAAAAAAACATCAGTCGTTCCGAATCAACAACAGAATTAAACTCGCGTCGCAATAAATAATTTCTCAAGTTAATGTTCTTACATAAATATTTCAAAAATAATTGATTTCAGCACATTAACTTAGAAAAAATACTTGGTAATTGACTGGAAATTATTTCGATGCCAATTAGGAACGTTACACTATTTGGCTTTCGTAATAAACAAGAAACTTTTAAACTTCTTCCTGGTTTATTATACTGTTAGTATGATATGATACGAGTATTATATAAATCAATCTATTTGTTTTATGTGCCAATTCAGTTCCAAGCCAATAGATATCTATGGAACATATAAACGTAATATAGTCTAAATAATACGAGGGTGGATTGAAAAGTACTCGGCCTAACACAGATCCATTCAATTCTAAAAATCTAATCTACCCACATTATTTAGTTCAGTTCAGACTAGTTCATTGTGTGAAGTTCGAAACGTGTGCGATAATTAGTTGTGATTTTATAAATTTATTAACAAAGTAATCGGACATAATTTCCGCGAATGGAGCAAATCGAGTAGCGTGCCGTCATTAAGTACCTCCATAAGAAGGGGCTATCATCAAAAGCCATCCATGATGACATGGTCAGTACATTAGGCGATTGTGCTCTGTCATATTCATCCGTCAAAAAATGGATAGCAGAATTTAAGCGTGGTAGAGAGAGTGTGAAAGATGAACCCCGCTCTGGAAGGCCTTCGACGTCAACTACTGACGAAAATATTAAAAAAAGTACTTGATTTAATAATGGGAGACCGCAGATTAAAAATTAGAAAGATAGCCGAGATTATAGGCATCTCTTATGAACGAACTCAAAACATCATTGTCAACGAGTTGGGTTTCCACAAGGTGTCTGCGAGGTGGGTTCCGCGACTGCTTTCAGTTGAACAAAAAAGGACGCGATTGACTATTTCACGCGACTGTTTGGAGTTATTTGAAGCCGATGCAGATGATTTTTTGAATCGTTTTGTTACTATGGACGAAACATGGGTTCATTACTGTACACCGGAAACAAAACAACAATCAAAACAGTGGAGAAGACCTGGTTCACCGCCCCCTAAAAAGGCTAAGTCGATTTTGTCGGCAAATAAGGTGATGGCTTCAGTATTCTGGGACTCGAAAGGTGTGATTATGATTGATTATCTTGAAAGGGGTCAGACTATAAACTCTGATTACTACTGCACCTTACTACGTCGTTTACGAGAGGAAATAAAAGAAAAACGTCGAGGAATGCTCAGAAGAAAAGTCCTGTTTCATCAAGATAACGCCCGTGTTCACACGTCAGTACAGTCAATGGCTGAAATTCACAACTGTGGCTTTGAACTGTTACCGCATCCGCCGTATTCACCTGATCTGGCACCATCAGACTTCTTTCTGTTCCCTAACCTAAAAAAGCACTTGGGAGGTCAAAGATTTTCGACAAACGACGTGGTCAAAACAGCTGTAGACGCATATTTTGACTCTAAGGAAGAATCATTTTTTTTTCAACGGTCTAAATGCTTGGAAGGGGAGGTGGCAAAAGTGTATTGAACTTGATGGTGATTATGTAGAAAAATAAAAATATAACTGATTTAGTATGTGTTTATTTTCTTGGTTAGGCCGAGTACTTTTCAATCCACCCTCGTATATTTGTTTTTAACCGGCTTCCTAAAAGAAGGAGGTTCTCATTTCGATCTTTGTCAATTGTGAACTGATTATAATAATTCCTTTTTTATAGAGAGGTCAATTCTGTACATGAAATATATTTCCAAAATAACTATCAGGGGTGATTAGTGATCGATACTGATGCCAAAAATGCAAACAGTAAAATTTTTGTCTGTCTGTCTGTCTGTATGTTCGTTATAGAAACAAAAACTACTCGACGGATTTTAACGAAACTTGGTACAATCATTTAACATACTCCTGGGTAGGTTATAGTATACTTTTCATCGCGCTACAATAAATAGGAGCAGAGCAGTGAAGGGAAATGTTGGGGAAACGGGAGAAATTACTCCATTTTTAAGCTTCCGTCGCGTGTGCAGCCTTAATGGTTAAAGCTACACAGAAATCATGTATAACGGAAATGTTCTCCTTAAAATTATATAAAAAATATCCCAAGACAGCATATGTCTATCTTTTATGCTTGACTCACAATAACACGTGTAACTCCCGATAGCTTAGCAGTTCGGAGCTTTCTGATTATATTTGTCTACTCTTACGTTTATAACACTCTCACTCATCCCTAATTAAAAAAAAGTTAACATTATTATCTATTCAATAAAAAAAGAATCATAGAAATCCGTATAGAAATACCAAAGTTATACATGAAATACGCTAATAAACCATCGCGCGTGGATACTGAATCATGCTATAAGGATTATTTTTGTGTAACGGTCGCCGCGCTCGACGCGGCTCGCGGCGGGAGGTATAAAAAGGCGGGGGGTCCGAGTGCGAGCTTGCGCCCTCCTTTCTGCCAAGGAGGGTCGCGTTCGTATACGGCTTAGAGATCTCTCGTCAGATCGGTAAGCCAATCCACAAAGGCGGTGTTTAGTGGGTAAAAGTCTCCACATAACCACGCAGCCGGCTGCATGGTATGCTATGAGCATTCACCGCCTCCCTCCCCCCGCTTTCCGGAGGGTTGCCCATATTTGCTTCGGGCGCAAAAAAAAAGTGTGCGAGCTTCATACAATATTTGGCTGTTGATGCGAATAGACGTTCAGAGTGTTCGAACTTATTGACAGACAATAATTGATTTTAACAAACCGTGCTTATCAGCGCGACTTTTAGTCTACTCTTAAGTTTAATAATTTATTTTTAGATTTCTTTAGGTTGTTATTTTATAAAATAGGTATTAGTTATTTTGGTAGTGTTTAAATATTTCTTAGTATTAGCTTAATTATAAATTAAACTTGTTTTTATTACCTAGGTATCAAATAGGTTATTTCATTCTATTAGACGTAGTTTAGGTACCTACTTATATATTTTTAAGAATTTAATTTTGGATTTAAGGATTTGTTTAGGATCCGTTTTATTATTTAAGTAGGCATTTAGTTTTTTTTAAGTGTATCGTAGCTATAGTTGGACCTCTAACGTAGATTATTTTGTTAGGTAACTGAATGCCGTCGATTAAAAATAAAATACACAATGCCACCTAAAAACGATTATCTTTATCTCGAAATTCGAGAGAAGCTAAGAGAATGAGAAATGTGCGTTCTCAAGAATCGGCAGAGGAAAGAGCACATCGGTTAAACTCTATGAGAGTTAGTGTCTCAACTTCTCGAGCCAAAGAAAGCTCTCCAGAAAGAGAGATGCGATTAGCAGCTGACCGAGCGAGACGAGCTACATCACGGGCGTCTCAAAGTTCTTCTCAACGAGAGCTAAGGCTTACCATGGACCGAGAACAACAGGTGTTATCCCGAGAAGCTGAAACTGCTTCACAGCGAGAATTGCGGCTCACAGCTGACCGCGAACGGCATACATTATCTCGCGAGTCCGAAACCTACACTGAGAGGGAATTACGTCTCATAGCTGACCGCGAACGGCATACATTATCTCGCGAGTCCGAAACCTACACTGAGAGGGAATTACGTCTCACAGCTAATCGCGAACGACATGTACTATTCCGTGAGTCCGAAACCTTCACTGAGAGGGAATTACGTCTCACAGCTGATCGCGAACGGCATGTACTGTCCCGTGATTCCGAAACCTACACTAAAAGGGAACTACGTCTCACAGCTGACCGCCAACGGCATACATTATCTCGCGAGTCCGAAACCTACACTGAGAGGGAATTACGTCTCACAGCTGATCGCGAACGTCATATTTTATCTCGAGAATCTGAAACTTTTACTCAATATGAAGACCGTTTGACAAATGATAGGGTGCACCATAATATTATTCGATCTCTTGAAGATGAACATGAGCATGAACAACGACTAGAGTCGGGACGCGAATATTACAATTCTTTGAGACAAGAACGATTAATAAGTTTGTCTAATGAAAGATTAAGAGTTGAAAATATTCGGTCTGATTAAAACTACTTTTACGGATTTTATCGCGTTTATTTTTACTTTTTATTTACTTTTATTTTTATTTTTATTTTTAATTCCCGACGTTTCGGGCGCTTTCCAGCACCCATGGTCACGGGGGACTGAGATGACTGACGTCCCGATGTCATTGTTAAACCCGGAGTACCTTCAGCTTTTTTAATTATTGTTTATGGTCCGATCTATGCAAAATGAACTGACTATGTCCTGAGGTCTTGCAGTGGTATGCTTGGGTTTAGTTTTAATTTTATTGATTATAGGATCCCAAGTAGGTGGTAGTACCCAGCCTCCTTCTCTATTGAAATTAGGATGTTTTTTAATTTCAATAGCCTCACGTATCATCCTTGGTAGGAATCGGTGTTCTTTCGCGAGGATTTGTGGTCTATCAAATCTGATGTAATGGTTGGGTCCGTCTAGGATATGATCACGCCATAGGAAGTCTGCAGTTAGTGATCATAGATCATAGTAGGGTAGTGTGGGTCCGTCTAGGATATGATCACTAACTGCAGACTTCCTATGGCGTGATCATATCCTAGACGGACCCAACCATTACATCAGATTTGATAGACCACAAATCCTCGCGAAAGAACACCGATTCCTACCAAGGATGATACGTGAGGCTATTGAAATTAAAAAAACATCCTAATTTCAATAGAGAAGGAGGCTGGGTACTACCACCTACTTGGGATCCTATAATCAATAAAATTAAAACTAAACCCAAGCATACCACTGCAAGACCTCAGGACATAGTCAGTTCATTTTGCATAGATCGGACCATAAACAATAATTAAAAAAAGCTGAAGGTACTCCGGGTTTAACAATGACATCGGGACGTCAGTCATCTCAGTCCCCCGTGACCATGGGTGCTGGAAAGCGCCCGAAACGTCGGGAATTAAAAATAAAAATAAAAATAAAAGTAAATAAAAAGTAAAAATAAACGCGATAAAATCCGTAAAAGTAGTTTTAATCATGTATAGTGTTCGCGTAAATATAAGAAATCAATATTCGGTCTCTTGAAACGGACGAACAGCGAGAGGCCCGTCTTGCACTGCAGACAGATTTCGACATAGTCTTAATGACTTAGATGTACACATAGAAGATCAATCTACAAATTCGGTGGCGTGGTCCGACAAATATAAAAGTGGGTTCGCTTATAACCTCACAATTGATTACAGATCATCTTCTGTAATAGGCGATATGAATGTAGTATGTTCTTTTTGTAATGCTTCAAAGTGAAGTAAGGAATCGGCTGGTTTCTGTTGTTCTGGAGGTAAAATAAATTTGCCTTCGTTCGAAGATCCACCGGAACCTTTGAAGTCACTACTTTTAGGGGAATATGGGCAATCTAAACAGTTCTTAGACAATATTCGCACTTATAATAGTGCGTTTCAAATGACATCCTTTGGTGCTCAACAAATCTCAGAAGGTCCTTTCATGCCTACTTTTAAGATACAAGGTTAGGTTTACCATTTGATAGGATCCCTTTTGCCTGAAGACCAACCTAAGTTTCTTCAAATATATTTTGTATGCGACTACAACGAACAGTCGAATATAAGAAATCAATATTTCCCGAATTTAAATACTGAACTTATTTCACAACTTCAGAACATGTTGCATCAGGTTAATTCGTATGTATGCAGTTTTAAATTGGCATTAGAAGCTCTTCCTCAAGATGGTGATAACAATTATAAAATTGTTATAAACGCCGATAGGCGTCCAATTCAGGAACACCCTGGGCGTTATAACGTTCCATCTACGAATGAAGTTGCTGTAGTATAGGTCGACCAGGAATATGGTAGACGTGACATCGTTATCCGTTCCAGAGACAATCGTTTGCAACGTATTTACGAAACCCACAGGGCTTTCGATAGTTTGCAATATCCTTTGATATACTCTCGAGGGGAAGATGGTTATAATTTCGCTTTATACCAAACTGATCCGCGTACAGGCTCACCTAATTATAATAAAAGGATGTCGTGCCTTCAATTTTATTGTTACCACTTGCAAGTGAGATGGAATAGATTTGTATACTTTCAACGTTTTCATGGCTTATTCAATCAGTTTATTGTTGACATGTACGCAAAAATTGAAACCGAAAGATTAGTTTATATACGATCTAATCAAAGGCAGCTGCGTGCTGAAGAATACGTGCACCTTCGCGACGCCATGCAGCAAGATAATGATACGGTGAATATGGGCCGTTTAGTTATTTTACACTCTTGTTTTACTGGTGGTCCACGCTACATGCACGAACGTACTCAAGATGCTTTTTTGTTACGCAAGAAAATATGGACGTCCCGACTTATTTATTACTGTAACTACCAATCCCAAGTGGGATGAAATCATTCGGGAGCTTATTGAGGGTCAAGCACCGCATGACCGCCATGATATTTTCGCAAGAGTTTTTCATTTAAAATTAAAATCAATGATAGATATACTTACCAAAGATAACATTTTTGGAGATGTATTGTGTTATATGTATAGTGTTGAGTGGCAAAAACGCGGCTTACCTCACGCACATATTATCCTGCTTTGGTTAAAAGATAAGGTTCGACCTAATGATGTAGACAGTTCAATCAGTGCTGAAATTCCAGATCCGATTGCAGATCCCGTGTTATACGACATTGTTAAAACTCATATGATACATGGTCCATGTGGTGCATTTAACGGGAATGCTCCTTGCATGCAAGACGGTCGTTGCACTAAAAGATATCCAAAAGCATTAGTGGATGAAATACAGTTTCATGACAGGACAGGACATGATGGATACCCATTATATCGTCGCCGTTCAAGAGACAATAGTGGTTTTACTGTTGAAAAGCGAGTGTCTGGACAACATGTTACTTTAGATAATAGGTGGGTCGTTCCGTATTCGCCTGTGTTGTCTAGAGCATTTCAAGCTCACATTAATGTTGAAATGTGTAATAGTGTAGAATCAATAAAATATATTTGTAAGTATATTAACAATGGCAGTGACCAAGCTACATTTGTGTTGAGAAATGAACATGATGAAGTTACTAGATTTCAGTCAGGCAGATATATCAGCTCTTCAGAAGCTGTGTGGCGGATCTTAAGTTTCAACATTCACGAAAGATATCCACCTGTGACTCATCTGGATGTTAATCTTGAAGGCGGTTAACGTATATATTTTAACGCCGAAAATGTTACAGAACGATTAGAGAACCCTAGACAAACAACTTTATTAGCATCCTTTCGACTTTGCCAAACTGATGATATTGCAAAATCTCTTTTGTATGAGGAAGTTCCATCGTATTATACCTACGATAAGCAACGAGGTGTCTTTAATTGTAGACGCCGTGGCAGGCCTGTAGATGGCGAGTCGGGTATTTTCAAAGAACATGTTCTTGGTAGAGTGTATACCGTTCATCCTAACAACGCTGAGTGTTTCTATTTGCGATTATTATTACATACAGTGCGAGGACCAACTTCATTTATAGATTTGAGAAAAGTAGACGATGTTGTTTATCCAACTTATCATGCAGCTTGCCAAGCGCGTCGTTTGCTTGAAAATGATCAGCATTGGGATGACGCTTTAGCAGAATCTTGTGTTAGTGATAATCCAAGACGGTTACGCCATTTATTTGTAACATTACTCACATTTTGTAATTTGACAGATGCTGTACAATTATGGGAAAAACATATAGAAAAATTTGCAGAAGACTTTCTTCGGAATATATCTCACAATGATGAAGGCCCAACTAATGATAATTTCCGTGATATTGCCATAAATCTGTGCTTATTAGCTCTTTAGGAAGACTTAACAGCAGTAGGCGGTAAATCACTCTGTGAATATGGGACGCCAACACCAACCTCAGTCGGAGAGGTTACCAATAGGTAATATTCCGCAGAGATTGATTACAACTCAATGGAACTGCTGGCAACATTAGATAACCGTGTCCCAATGATGACGGAAGAACAACGTTCAGTCTATGATCGCGTGTGCGAGAGTGTTCAGAATAATTTGGGAACAATATGATTTTTAGATGCACCTGGAGGAACTGGGAAAACCTGTTTGACTAAATTAATATTAGCTTATGTTCGAAATACAAAAACAAAAAAAATCACCGTAAAATTGCTCTTGTCGTGGCTTCATCGGGTATAGCTGCAACATTGCTACCAGGAGGTAAAACTGCTCACACTATGTTTAAAATACCAATTGATTTAGATCGCAGGGAAAGTCCAACCTGTAGTATTTCAAGAAATAGCGACAAAGCTAAGGTATTACGTTAGTGTAATTTAATCATATGGGGTGAATGTACGATGGCCCACCGGAAAGGAGTAGAAGCGGTAGACAGAACTTTAAGGGATATAAGACAAAATGATCGACCAATGGGCGGTATCACGGTTTTATTTTGTGGTGATTTTCGACAAACCTTACCGGTAATACCACGGGGAACCCGAGCTGATGAGGTTAGGGCTTGCCTAAAAAGCTCTTATTTGTGGCGTGATATACAATCGGTACATACGTTGACTGCATATAAACATACGAGTGAGAACTGGAGATAACCCGGATGATCGTCAATTTTCTGATAAATTATTAAAGATTGGTGAAGGTACCTATTCACAACTACACCAAGGAAAACTTATTCTGACGCCTGAGTTATGTTGTATAGTGCAATCCCAACCACATCTTATATCGTCGGTTTACGGTGACGTAACAATTATATTAAATAGGGACAATTCTTGGCTATGCGAAAGATCCATTTTAACTCCTCGCAATGACCAGGCATCTGAGATTAATAACAAAATACTGTCGAATATACAGGGGGAAAGCAAAGTTTATAGTTCAATGAATAGAATGGGCGATGAACAAGAAGCCACTAATTACCCGATAGAATTTTTAAATTCTTTAAATATGCCAGGACTTCCTTCTCATGAAATTTATTTAAAAATTGGCATTCCGATTATTCTGCTCCGAAATTTAAGACCACCACAACTTTGCAACGGAACTCGGCTAAACGTAACCCAGTTGCAACGGAATATAATCGAGGCTCAAATTTAAACAGGTTGCGGTGCAGAAGAAACCGTCTTTATTCCCAGAATTCCCTAAATTTTCCATTCCTTTAAAGATTAATAAGGCTCAAGGGCAGAATTTTCTTTGCTGGAGTAGATCTCGGTGTCAGTTGTTTCTCGCATGGTCAGTTGTACGTCGCTCTTTCCCGGGTTAACAGTACTAGAAATCTTTATGTTCGCGTGCCGGACGGGTCAACTTTCAACATAGTTTACCCGGAAGCTTTGCGCTGAAGTATTTTTGTTCTATAAGTACTTAAGCCTCATGTGGACGTGATCTAAACAATATTACCAATATATTAACTTGAAATAATACTAGTTTTTACGGAATTTATCGCGTATATTTAACGTTTTTATACGTGGTAGAGCCATGCTGCAGTTATATTAGTAGTATAGTTGTAGCACGAATGGGTCCGCTCGACCGGGGAAGGACCACGCTCTCACAGAATACCAGCGTAAAATAGTAGCTTAAAGCTGCTGTGTTTCGTATGGTGAGTGTAGAGAACCGGAGACCCTTTTAACTGGAAACGAGGCATTCCATCTTAGTCCTCACGGGTGACAACGCATCTGCATTTTGATTCGTAATCAAGGATAGATGTAGATGTCTATGGGCTGTAGCAACTACTTACCATCAGGTGGACTGTGTGCTCGTTTGTCACCCTATCCTATAAAAAAATAAACACGTATAATTTTAGTTTTAAAATTCTTCAGAACCGCTTCTGAAAGTAAAACGAAATTAATAGGTGTTAGGATTTCTTTTAGTTCTGCGTAAGAGTCCGTCCGAGTGTATACAACCCGCTACTACTGTGAAGCGCTCGAAACGTCGGGTATTTAAAAAATTAAATATACGCGATAAATTCCGTAAAAACTAGTATTATTTCAATCTATACAACCCTCTTAACTGATTCTGTCGTCAAATAGCAGTGTGTAGACTTCTGTGTTTCAGTCTGAAGTCCAGTATAAAAAGCCATTATAATTTCATTCTCCGAGGTGATAACGCATTTTTTGTTTAAAGTAGTGACTAAGTAGTTACTACTTTAAATAAAAAATGCGTATATAATTTTATAAAAGAAATTAAGCTACGTTATACTTACGAGTATACACGTACTGTGAACCTGAACTAGTAAGTGATCAATTACAAAACCTTACGTAAAAAACAAATTTATCGCCTTCTACGTTTAAAAATTAAATTAAATTAAAATAACGCTATAGCTAGTTGGGTTGCTTCAAAGTATTTATAATACAATGTTTTGTTCTTCTTCGGCGGGATTCTTAAATAAGAAACTTCATTGTCAACTTATTTGTGAATTCCGGCAGAAATCAATGCAACGCGGGAATATAGGTTCGAGTCTGATCGCTTTTTGTGACTGAACCGTATCTCCGACATTGCATTCGCTTCTTCGGATCTTTATATTACATTAACAACGTATTCAGAAAGTGTCTGTCAGTGCCTTTGTACCATACTCATAGCTTTTCCCTTTTTCATCAGCACTTAAAATTCTACTGCTGGGCATTGATTGGCCAATTCTTATGAAGACAGGACCTACAGTAGGTAGGCATCATCGTGTTTTACTCGTTTGCATATAAGTAGATACCATTTTTTAAGTGAGTTAAACCAGCGGCGTACCTACCTAACGTAGCACATGCACTGGACACCATTTAACAAGGCTACAATTTAACATTATAAACTAATAAGTTATCTTCGGGGCCCAAGTATGAAATACATGTATATATATAGATAATTATTACGAAGTATTGAAATTGCATTTCGATGCCTGTTATAAGCTCCATTTTCTGTTAGGTACGCCACTGAGTAAAACTAATATCATATAGAAACCTGTGCAGTTTTACTTTAAATCTAAAATAGATTAATAAAAGTAGAAAGAATAGACATATTTTTGTCCTTTTTCTGGTACTACCAGAAAAAAGACGCTCTATCAAACTGTGGCGGCTGGTCGACGGTAGGGTTGTCTGCAGATCCCGGAGCGAGATGCGGCCGGGAACGTGATCCCGACGTGGAAGAGACAGATGTTGGCGCGGCGTGCGGCTGAAAAGGCACGCCGGGATTTGGAGCGGGAATTAGCTGGAGAGGCGGAGAGACGTCGTGCAGCGGCAGTTCCCGCGTGGAAGCGACAGCTATTGCAAAGGAGGGAGGAAGCTGAAAATCGATTGAGGTAGTCATTTATCTATTTATTCGTACAAACGAATCAAATTTTTGTTTATCAGAGAATCTGACACAGGCAAATTCCAACAAAACGTTGAAAGTTTTTGTTCCAACCTACGTACATACCGCTAAAAGGCACAGGAGATCCTATTACATATATATATACTAAGAGATTTATGAAGAGGTGTGACAACATTGAAGTCCACTGCGCTTCAGTGCGTGTTATCGGCCTTCATACACTCTCAATTTTTTTTTAATTTAGCAGACACATAAGTTTGTTATGTTGATAAGTTTGTTTGACACGATGTTTTCTTCACAGACAAGAATGTGGAAAATCAACGCCTAAAATTGCAAATAATGGTTACGCGAGTACAAGTACTACCTAAAAATCTGGTGGTAATTTACTTTCAACACTGTAATTTTTTTTAAACAGTATGAGATTTAAATTAAACAGTGTAAGACTGGTAAACAGGAAGTCGATGGATGCAGGTGGCTCAGGACCTTGCTTTGTGACATTCCTTGGGGAAGACCTATGTTCAGCAGTGGATTTGTGACCTTCACAAATATTGACTGTAATGGTGATGATGACTCCCATTTTTGCTAATAGTTTGAGTAATGTGCCCTATAACTAACACGTTTTTATTAGTGTGTTATGTAATGAAAACTTTAATATAATTTTCACCAACTTGTACACGATCGATTGACCTGAACATTCGAATCCGTATCAAGGACCGATGTTAATCCAATAGTTTAATAATAATCTTAGTATCCTGATCAGGATCACCAGGATAAAATAATTATGAAAATCAAATATTAAGTGTAACAAACAAGTACACGGTCCACCTGGTGGTAAGTGGATGCTGTGGCCAATATACATCTACATTTATCCTCATTCAGGAATCAAAGTGCAGATGCAGTGTCACCCCTCAGGACTTAGATGGAACGCCTCGATTTCTGTTCCTAATAAGGGCCTCCGGTTTTCTACATTCACCATACGAAGTTCAGCAGCATTTAATTTCTGTTTTACGCTGGTATTCTGTGAGAGCGTGGCTACAACTATAATATAGCTGCAGTGTGGCTCTACCAAGTTAAAACTCTCATATTATTTTCGTTTTTGTACCTACCGTATCCAGTGTAACCAGCATCCAAATAATGAAATTCATTTCCAGACAATCACTGTACACACCCAAAGTTGAAGAGGGCCACGGGAACGGCACAATCAACGGGGAGTGGCGCGCGTACCCCAGCGGCACGCAGCGCGCCGTCTCCATCGACAACATCTCGCTGTGCTACGACTCGCACACGCAGCCCACGCGCGCACCCTCCGAGTTCAAGCTCAACACGGAACATTGCAATGGTTTGTACTGTAATGTAATGGATGTATTTCTAGGTGACCACCATTTTATACAAGATTTTCTAGGTGTTATTATCACTTTTCTACACGGAAATTCGATGGATCCTATCACCATATTGCTATGCTACAACATTGCATTGCGATGGTTTATACACATGATTTTTTTCTTGGAAACCAATGCTCCACCTCTCCCCCATCATTTTGCACAAGATTTTCTAGGTGTTAGGATCCCCTTTCTAACTAGAAGCTGGGTAAGTTCTGCCCTTCGACAACATTTCGCTGTGCTACGATATATACATATCACACACGCAAGCTCTCCAGGTTGAAGTTGCAATCAAATATTAGAATGGTTTTACTAATACTCCATTCTCCTATCTATTACTGCTGCCAAATAGCAGTGCTTGCGCTGCTGTTTTGGTCTTAAAGTTAATGAGACTCAGTATAGTTACAGGATGTGAGACATTCCATCTATTCCATCTTAGTCCTCAGAAGTTTTTTTTATAGGATAAGGGTGACAAAGGAGCACACAGTCCATCTGATGGTAAGTGGTTGCTGTGGTCCATAGACATCTACATCTATCCTCGATTATGATTTAAAATGCTGATGCGTTGTCACCCGTAAGGACTTAGATGGAATGCCTCGTTTCCAGTAAAATAGGTTTCCGGTTCTTGACACTCACTTTACGAAACACAGCAGCGTTGAGCTGAGCTATTTTAAGCCGGTATTCTGTGAGAGTGTGGTACTTCCCCGATCGAGCCTATTATATACTATATATATATATATATATATATATATATATAAAGTATATATATATATATATATATACTATTCTACTGAGAGCCGTGGTAGCTCAGTGGTTAACGCTCGCTGTAAATATAACAGAACGCGAGTAACCCGGGTTCGATCCCCGCCGGCACCAATGAAATTGTTAATTGCAATTTTAAGTGCTGATTTACCACGTGCTCGGCGGTGAAGGAAAATATCGTGAGGAAACCTGCATGTCTGAGGAATAAGAAAAAAAATATTTCGAAGACATGTGAAGTTCGTCAACACGCATTTGGGCAGCGCGGCGGGCACTTCCTTGCCCTAAACCCTCTCAGAAATGAGGGGAGGCCTGAGCCCAGCAGCGGGACGTATATAGGCTGTAACTTTACTTTACTTTTACTATTCTACTTAGCTGCAGCATGGCTCTACCACGTAAGAACGACTCTGCACTACTCTGGTGATAACGCATCTGCAGCCTTCTTTATCCGTGAACAGCAGTAGCCACTTACCATCAGATGGACTGTCATAACAAATATTAAGATTGAATCAGAAACCAAGACATTAATTAATATGCTAAAAATATCAGCCCACAGAAATAATAGGTATAGACTCAATTGTCGAGTACGTCGAGTGCTTCTTTTTCTTCTCATTTATAATAAAAAGTGGCAAAAGCAATTCTGCAATCACTTTTAAATTTAGAAATGACTCACCTTAATTTTTAAAACCGAAAAAAAAACTGCCCGAGTTTCAAGTACTTTTTCTACTCGAGTTTCAACAATATCAGATATCGGAGCTAGCCTTAAGAATGCACACAAGTTAATGATGACATTTTATTTTATATTATTCCATATTAATCTTAGAGGTGACGCGTCAAAACTCCTCTTTTCTTGAAGGTATACATGGACTACAGTGGTCCATTTACACTAAGGGATAACGAAAATTTGCATATTGTACCTACTGCCATGATGTTTTTTTTTTATTTCTTCAGGTCATGCGACAACGAACGGTAAACACGTCGACGAAGGAGAGCAAGAAAGCGCTAAAATTATACCATGGCGAGCCCAACTTCGCAAGACAAACAGCAAGCTCAATCTACTTGAATAGTTCTTATTATGTAAGATGCAATGTTGCTAGACTTAAAAATATGAGACTTTAGTAGTTTTTATCATAGAGCTACGCCATAATTTAAAATGCGTTTCACACGTAGAAAATATTATAAATGGGTGCTAAAACGATTATATTTTCGCAAGTAAACAATAGGGTATTATATTATAATTTACTAACATTTTATAATCTGTCTTCAGACAGAAAAAGCATTGTTATGGCAACAATATTTTCTTCTTCTTCTACTATGCGTTATCCCGACTTCTGCCAAGGTCCACTTTCTTGCTACACTACATTTTGTTGGCAATAAAATCATAAAGGTAGAAAAAGAAGCATAGACAAGATGAAGTGAATTTTGAGTTAATTTGAGTCGATAAGAGTAATCGATTAATTTAATATAAATGGATATAAATTTTCATACTTTAGAGACATCTAACGTATAGAAATTTAACTGTAGGTTTCTTAAAATATAAAACTTCGAGACTACTTAAACAAAGATCTTTACTCTTTCTGCGTAGATTTAATCGTTGCGTATGTAAAAATGTAAATTACGTTATTTTTTATCTAATTAACTATTTAATCACATTCGTAGTGTAATTCACAGATTAATTAAGTTTAACTTTAGAGAAAACAATATTTTAAAAAATCGATTATTAAATAGTATTTATTAAAAGTATTTTTTATTCATGCAAGTGATAGCATTGTTGCAATATTAGTATTAAGCTTATTAGTGGGCTTTTGCAGTTTTGTACGACCTACTTTTATATATTTTTCTACGTATAATAATTACCGTGTGTTTTTATGGTTGTCAATCGATTATATTGTTAATAAAACTGTTGCTTTTTATGTCTTTTTTTTCTTTCAACCTGTTCACACCGTTTTGTTTTTAACAATAGTTGGTCTTTGATTATTTAATAGATAATATCCAAGCAAAACCGGGGCGAGTCGCTACTCAATAATAATATAATTGTTGCAAACACATCAACCAGACAATGTAGGCCAAGTTTAGTACAACTATTATTTAATAATACTGCGTTTTCGCTTTCCACAATTTAATTAGAACACGGGAAATGCTAAGAACTTTATGACACCTTAGATACTGATTGACCGTATCCCCTAATTGCCAAACCTTAAATATTTATGAGCGGGTACTGCCTCTATCAATCTGCCCTTGCAATTTATCTTCTTAACGACTTCATGTTTGAACTATGCTAATTGGTACTAACATTTAGCATCATAAATTTGTTTTTCAGCATGGCTATGTTGTGATTTCCAATAGTGACACCGCGTCCCTGTTCTTGACTCCCGGGCTACCTTCGATCTTAATAAAGTAATGTCTTCCACACCGACTTCCTTTCACGGCGACCAGCCTCTACGGAGAATAGCCATCTGTGCAGGACAGGATTAAAGTGCACTAGTGTGTGCACGCACAGGTACCCTTCCTATACCCTAGCTCTCATAGTCAAATGTGATGGCAATTTAATACGACCAGAGAGAACAGAAGCAGGACCAACGGCTCTAAGTGTTTTTAAGGTAAAACACCGGCAACTTTCTGACTGAGCTGCTGCTGAGAGTTCTGTAACAAATCCGATAATACTCCGACTCAGGATTCGAACATGAGACCACACGATCTGCAGTCGCGCTTACTATACCAACGAAGCAGATCGTAAAAATAGTGTATATTGTTTTCTTTTCCTAATAAAAAATGCCAAGTATAAAACCAAGTGTCGTAAACATACAATTTAGATGTGGTAATAAAATATAAAGGATTAACATTCAAATGGAAGAAATATCGCAAACAGTTGAAAATAAAATCGTTGCCTAACAAAATCAGTAATGCGGAAATAAAACTTATTATAAATTATCCGGTATGGATACGATACAGATATTTATATTCATATTTGGAGGTAAATGTCGAACATATAATATATAAGTGATAAAATTAATTATAATTATTATAAAGTATTAACCTAGGTGAGACATGGATACATTTGACTCAAGACCGTATTTTGTATGTCATCCCTTGAGGGACGCATTGCATCAGCAATTCCCCTGGTGTTGTAGTTATTCATGGGCGGCGGTAGTCACCATCAGGTGGACCGCATGCTCGTTTACCCCCTATCATATAAAAAGGCGGATGGTCTTCTTCTGGCTGGCAAATGCAATATACCTAATTGTTAATGGCAATTGCAATTAACAATTAGGTATATTGCATTTGGCCCATTATCTATTACCTTATTTCCAGTACGATGGAATGGCAGTTCGATACGGCCGTACGGAGATCAGGCATAGGAGGCTTTACGTGCTTTCTGAGATGAGTCACGACCAAATTTCTGACTTCGGGCTGCTTCAAAGAACTGATAATTTCGTGACAGAAAAACCCAATAAAGGGTATCGATTTTACCTAGGACTCGAATTCGCAATCACACGATTATCGGACGCGCTATGGCTACTAGACCATCGAGGTCGAGGTCATTAAAAATCCGACAAACCGTATCGGGACAACATAACGGTTTCTAAGTCCTCTCAGTAATGAGGTGAGGCTAGTGCCCAGCAGGATGACGTTTTTACTCTTCACTTTAACTTTATTTAATTTTACCTAGGGCTGATTTTTCTATTGTCCGATTAAAGTTAATCAAATAAATTATAAACTGACCGAATATAAAAGTAAGCCAATTAAACAATTTTATTAATACAACCGTAATATTATTCTATGTTGTATTTTAAATCATTTCTTTAGTTTACAGCAATTTCGGTAGCATGGAGTGTAGACGTGAGGAGAACCGTCTTTGCATTAAAAAGTGTCCGTACGAAAGCGCTAAATAAAGGTTTTACAACTTTTTATTGCACAGACTTTCACCATAATTCGTTTTTATAATAATTATTTCATTTTTTTCAAAAATTTTACTTTCAAAATCAGTCAACGTGTTTCAGGGGACTTTTTCAAGGTTATACTACTAATTTATTTAGACAACGTGAGTAGTTGAGGTTTTAAATACTGCAGTTTCATCAACTACTCTCGTCACCACAAATAATCAATTACTCAACGTCGTCGGCGTCGTCGACAACTGCTAATTCATTTCATAGCCTCTAGCTAGTCCAGCGCAACAGCGCTCTCTCCACAACAGTGGAGAGTTTGAATAGTTAAATTGCTTACAGATGGACACTTTTTCAATTATTCTGCTATGTGAGATGGTTCTCCTTACCTCTACACTCCATGCTCGGTAGTAACGTGTTCTGCCAATGTTATGTCTACTTTCTTTCTTTGGTAATGGACTCGTAGAATTGTATTTTTGCCAGTATCAAGTAATAAGAAATTATCCTTTATAATACACTCTTTCACATTCACAATATGTTGATGCGTCACATTGCGAAGTTTTTGGGAGATATTAACGGCAGTTTGAGCCAGCAGACAGTTGATGGCGACAGTATACCAAGGCGCCTAAGCAGACACTTATCTTAAGACCATTATCTTGAGGTTCACATCACCATCGGAGCACTTGTTACACCGTTTTCACTAATACAGTTCACATGCGCAGACATTTAATACTCAAAATCGCACCACTTTTACTTATCAAAATCCACTTCAAACCATTATTCAAACAATAATACAGAAGCTGCAATCCGCCGGCGGTCAAGTTCCCGCCAAAACTCGTATTTTATCTTATGAATAACTTTTATCCGATGATTGAAAAATCAGCCCTTATTAATATTAAGCCGCAAGGAATGCAAATTGTTATTTAATTCATAGCTCTTTTATTAGGTACGTTATCAGTAACTAATACTGTAAAAGTAAACAAGGAAGGAATTTTTACTGATCCGTCTTTAATCACCGTACTTTTAGAGAAAATTTTAAGACTTGGACAAGAATCATTAAACGATGATGAAATTTCATTTAAATTTAATAAAGGAACCAGATTCAAGTGTAGGAGGCCATATCTTGAGGAAATTGTAAGAACGAAACTTATCGAATTAAGACCTTATCTACAAGACGATAGTTTCGATGAATCAAATCAGGAAAATAATCTTACACTTAAAGGTAATGACGAGACGACAATTATAGAATTTGTACCCGACGACAAAGACAATTTTAGAGATAAACCCTTCAAAAAAGATATAAAAAATTATAACAACTTAAGAAAAAGGATACATAAAGCTTTACTTACGGAATCTGTTTCTGATGAAACGATTGACCTAGTCATTCAGACTTTGGATGATATGATAGCTAGCATGATTGAAAATCAATGTTCTTGGAAATACGATAGTGGAAAAGAAAAGATTTTAAGAGGAAGTAGTAATAATATTATGAATTTTTCGGAAATCCCTGAAACTTGGAATATAGAGTGGAAGAAAATCAAGGAGAAATATTTAGATTTATTTAATAACAATACTTCAATGCCCCCGGATAGTTTAAGTAGAGGAGTTAGATCACTTTTAGAAAAAATACCGTCTTTTTTCTCAAAAATTCTAAAAAATGGAGAAATGCTGACGAAGCAGTACAATTTTAAATGTCAAAAAGGAAACCGCGATAGTGAAAACGTAGTTAATTCTTTACTTCCAGGTGTAAAGAAAGACACGCGAAAGCTACTAGGCCTACATAACAAGTTTAGTAACATTGTAACACATCGAAATAGTCTCGTATGTAGAAAGGATATTCAAATATGTACAGAAGAACTAAAACGTTTCCTTCTATATATTTATAAGTACATTAATAGTGTAACTGCGAAAGTTTTAAACGATTACATAGAAATGTATAAAATAGAAGTAAATACGGAAGGAAAATCTTACAATAAAGGTACCGTATTACGATTAAGAGAGGTAAACCATGAAATCGGAAATTTAGTCTGTAACACATTTACCGAGAAAATCCGCCGTTTGAAAATAGACAAGGGAATAATTTCTAATCCTAGCACTAAATCTCTGAAATTTTTTATAAAAGATATTGTTGACAATGTGAAGTTACATACAAACAAATCTCTACACAAGAAGTTTGATTCTAGAAATTCAAAGTTAAAAGAAAATATCATAAGAGATATTGAGGTGAACATGAAAATCGAATTAGAACGTTTAGTGAATGAGCTTTATAAAACAATTTGCACGACATTTAAAACTTGTAATAGCAGATATATAGTTAAAAATTCTCGACGAGGGCACAGTGATCGTAACAGCGTATATGTCAAAGTACATTTGACATCTGACGATGAATTAAAAAATGATCTGAACCAAAAATCTAGACGTATGTTAGGTTTAGGTGCAACTGAAATAAATAAAATAAGGGTTTCAAGAACAACATTAAAAATTCAAAATCCCACTGTCTAAAATCAAAATGGCCAAATAAACACTAATTTGCAGTCGGTCTATTTGTAATAAAAATAAACCAAAAAGGCATATTTATATCGCTTTCCGCTTCGCATTCTTTCCTTGGAAGATTTGTATTGTCGTTTGATGAAATGTATATTAAGTAATTTTTATTTATTTTACGATATATGTACGCAAGCGATGAACTATGTGACCGGGTGGATGATTTAGTAGGGGTTGTTTAGTGCTGAGTATTTCTATGTTTCAAACACTTTAAAGTGAATAATTCGCATTTGAACGGTAATAAAACGAAATGTATTAAATTAACCACACGTAATGTTAAACAGTTGAATCCTATCTAATCCAAATCCTATCCTATCCTATCTAATTTTATATAATCCCGAAAAACCTTGTTTAATCAACTGTTTTTCTCGGAATTATAGTTGTCGCGAAGCTTCATTGGGGTTCTGATATATCCAAATTAGCTAACACACTTATTACTGCAGCATATGCTGTAAACATTTTAGAGGCCTTACATGTGTTGAAACAGCTAGATTAGTTTATTTCTATTATTTCCGTAGCATAATGTCACATGGAATCATGCTATGGGGTAATGTGACTGACTTGAAACTATCTTTATTTTGCAGAAGAGAGCCATAAGAGCAATTTATAATCTAGCTTCGAAGGAATCCCTTAGAAATAAAATTTTTAAGAAATAAATATATCCATAAATTTGGCCTCACAATATATTTACGAAAATTTAATGTACCCATGTACACAAAAACAAAAATAGTTTTATAAAAAATAGTGATGTACATTCTGTTAATACCAGGAACAATCACAAGTTAGTTATACCAGTTACTCGACTCCAGAGTCAGGAAGTACTTCATGGGGTAATGTAGTTCGTAAAAATTTGCCGGTACATTCCAACTTCACTTCCGTTTCCTTCCCACACGGGCCTAATGTGGGGGGGGGGGGTATATTGTGGCCATTTGTTCGCTCAATGGGATGCGCGTTGTGCTTCTGTGGAGGTGTGGATGGCCGAAGAGGAAAAACGACAAGTGCTCGGCCAGTTGCAACGTAGTTCCACTAGCCTCGAGGCCTTAGTAAGAGACCGTTTGCAGAACGTTAGTGAGGTAAGTGCCTATTTATTTAGATCTTGAGCTGTTTTTTCCTGTTCTTCTGAGCTGTCCTTTTCCTTGGCAGCTCATGCTTTCCGTCGTGCCGGCTTACGTAGTTAAATTCCGTGTAGTTAAAGTTCGCCATTTTGTTTTGGTTTCTTACCAAATACTTTACACATCATCATCATCATCATCATTACAGCCCTTCACAAGTCCACAGCTGAACATAGGCCTCCCCCAGGTATGCCACAAAGCACGGTCCTGCGCCACCTGCATCCATCAACTTCCTGCCATCGATGTCTTACCTGGTTGTCACTCCATCTAGTGGGTGGTCGCCCTACACTTCGCCTACCAGTACGAGGCTGCCACTCGAGAACCTTTTTTCCCCAACGGTTGTCGGTTCTTCGAGCTATATGGCCGGCTCATTGCCACTTCAGCTTACTAATCCGTTGGGCTATGTCAGTCACTCTGGTTCTACTGCGGATATCCTCATTTCTAAGTTTATCACGTAGAGAAACTCCGAGCATAGCCCTCTCCATAGCTCGCTGAGCGACTTTGAGCGTCCTCAAAGTCGCCAGCAGTGAAGGATTACGTCTCGGTTCCGTAGGTCATCACTAGCAACACGCACTGGTTGTCCAACTTAGTTTTCAAGTTTTGAGGTATACCTAACGAGAACATGTGTCGTAATTTCCCAAACACTGCCCAGCCGAGTTGATCCATCGATTGACCCCTCAGTCGAAGTTGGACTTACCTAGTCGGACTATTTGTCCCAGGTAAACGTACTCGTCAACAATTTCGAGCATAGTGCTCCCAACAACTACCGGCATAGGTGAAACATGGACATTAAACATGATTTTTGTTTTGTCCATGTTCATGACCTATCCGTTGGGAGACACCATTGAAGAAGCTCAATGACCATTGAGGTCATTGAGCATAGTGCTAAGGTCCTCCAGCGATTCTGCCATAAGGACTATATCGTCGGCAAATCGAAGGTGAGTGATGTACTCGCCATTGATGTTAATACCGTATCCTTTCCAGTCCAGTAGCTTGAAAACGTCTTCCAATGCAGCGGTGAAGAGTTTCGGGGATATAACGTCACCCTGTCTTACACCTCTCTGCAGTTGGATAGGTTTCGAGCTCTGGTTCTGTACTCGGATAGCCATTGTAGCCCTACTGTACAAACACTTCAGCACTTCGATATACCAACAGTCAACTTGGCACCGCTGAAGGGACTGTAGCACCGCCCAAATTTCGACGGAATCAAAAGCTTTCTCATAGTCCACATACGCAAGGCAAAGTGGCAGATTGTACTCTTCTGTCTTCTGTACAATCTGCCGCAGGGTATGTATGTGGTCTATGGTACTGAAGCCTTTTCGGAAACCGGCTTCGGGAGGCTGGAAGTCGTCGAGTCTGCGTGCGAGACGATTCGTAATGGCTCTCGAAAACAGCACGTAGACGCGGCTCAAAAGGGATATCGGTCTGTAGTTCTTCAAGAGAGCGTTGTCAGCTTTCTTGAAGAAGAAGACCACCGCACTTCTGCTCCACGCCTCCGGAGTAGTGCCACCATGGAGGACGGAATTATAGAGCCTCTGAAGGACTTCAAGTACCGGTTTTCCACCCGCTTTCAGAAGCTCTGCTGTAATTCCATCCTTGGAACCGTGGACTTGCCGTTTTTAAGGTGCTGGAGAGCCATTCTAATCTCACTCAGACTAACGTCCGGGACATCATCGGAATAGTGTCGGATAAGACTTTTTTTTTATAGAAGAAGGGGCAAACGAGCATGCGGCTCACCTGATGTTAAGTGACTACCGCCGCCCATGATCAACCGCAACACCAGGAGAATTGCGGGTGCGTTGCCGGCCCTTTAGAATGGAGTAAGCTCTTTTCTTAAAGGTCCCCAGGTCGTATCGGTCCGGAAAAATCGCCGGTGGTAAACTATTCCACGGAGAGGTTGTACGTGGAAGAAAACTCCTTGTGAAACGTACAGTGGTGGACCGCCAAGCATCCAGATGGTGTGGATGGTATCGGGACGTTTGACGTGTAGTGCGTTCACGAAATTTGGCGGCTGGGATTAATCCGAACAATTCCTCAGAGCACTCCCCGTGATAGATGCGATAAAATACGCAAAGAGATGCAACATCTCTTCGCAGCGCCAGTGAATCGAGCCGATCGGAAAGCACTCGGTCGTCGACGATTCGAGCCGCTCTGCGCTGGATGCGGTCAAGTGGAAGGAGCTGGTACTGGGGAGCCCCAGCCCAGAGATGGGAACAGTATTCCATGTGCGGCCGAACCTGCGCCTTGCAAAGTTGCAGGCGGTGTGCCGGCATGAAATACTGTCCCGCTCTGCTGAGCACGCCAAGCTTTTTAGAGGCCAATTTGGCCTTCCCTTCCAAGTGACCACGAAACTGCACGTCACTCGATATGTCGACGCCGAGGATTCCGATACTGGCTGAGGCAACAAGGGGAGTGCCTCGAAACTGAGGGGATACGACAAATGGGGTTCTTTTTAGCGGTTAACGCGCAAACTTGTGTCTTCTGGGGGTTAAACTGGACTAGATTTAGTCGCCCCCAATCCGAGACTCTGTCCAGCAGAGACTCGACATCAGACACAAGTTTGTCCCGGCACTCGGAGACGTTTTCCCGAGAAATATTGGCTCGGCCGGTGTAAAGAGCATCACCAGTGCTGTCATCTGCATAGCAATGAATGTTACGGGTATGCAACATGTCATTGATATGCAGAAGAAACAGCGTTGGCGATAGCACGCAGCCCTGTGGAACACCAGCATTAATAGGCTTGCAATCGGAGCTTGTACCGTCTACAACAACCTTGATGCTCCGATCTGCAAGAAAAATGGTGATCCAATCGCACAATTTCTCGGGAAGCCCATAGGAAGGGAGCTTCGAAAGAAGCGCTTTGTGCCAAACCCGATCGAAGGCCTTCGCAATGTCCAAACTAACGGCCAATGCCTCCCCCTTGAACTCTACTGCCTCCGCCCATCTGTGAGTTAGGTAGACCAGAAGATCACCAGCCGACCGACCACGGCGAAAACCGTATTGGCGGTCACTAATCAGCTGGTAATCTTCAAGGTACCTCATGAGCTGGCAGTTTACAATGGACTCCATTGTTTTGGAGAACAAGGAGGTGATGGCGATTGGCCGGTAGTTGGAAGGGTCAGAGCGGTCGCCTTTTTTAGGGATCGGGTGGACGTAAGCCGTCTTCCATGATTTTGGGACTACGCCTAGGGAGTAGGAGTACCGGAAAAGACGCGTTAAAACCGGTGCCAACTCTGGAGCACACGTCCTCAGCACAATTGGGGGGATTCCGTCAGGCCCACTCGACTTGTGGATGTCTAGGGAGAGGAGTGCTTTGCGAACCGAGCGCTGTGTGAAGTGCACTTCCGGCATGGAGCACTCACACCGCGGGATGGTCGGCGGAGTACTCCCCCCGTCCAGCCGCCGTTGTTGACGAGAGACTTGTGGACGATAAATCGGACACCTCCTTGGGACAGATGGTCGCCCTCCCGGTGATCGGACTCGAGGATTACCTTGTCCTCACCCTCTCTTCAGACCTCGGATAATCCAATAATATGCCAGCGCAACTTGTCTACCTCTTCTTCCAACTCCAGTATCTACTCGTCCGTCCTCAGGGTGCGTGCGTTATAAGTTGCCAGGTCGAGTAGTCTTAGGTGGCAACCGAACCTCCATCGGAGATTCTTAGCACCCCCTACCCCGCTGTTACCATGGTCGCCACCGTAACCAGGAATAGCGGGACCGCCGGGGACTGGGGGCCATTTGTTTGCGTCGTTACTCATGGGGGGATATTTGTCATAGTAGTAGTAGGCGAGCGGGTTGGCAACCGCAGTTTTTTATTATATTATTTTTGTTATTAGGAAGATGCTG